TTTGTGACGAGCTTATTTGGCAGAGAACCTTTGGGCCTTAGCAAGATGGATGACCAACATTGGTAAAGGTGGCTCCCCATACTTAGAGCAGACCCAGTTAAAGTTCCTCCAGAGTACAGCTTGCCTATATCAGAGTCTCTTTAATCTGAAGAGAAATCTACCTGAATTTAAATACTTGAGCTTAAAACTCTTTCAGGGGATGAGAATTGTATGGAGAGGTTAATTTAGCCTTAGCCTGTGCATCTGCCCTTGCGCCTCACAGGACAGGACCCCAGCAGAGAATTTGGCTCCTCAGCTATTGTTAAATGTGTTTGGCTAATCTGTAGCTCATAAAGTGTCATTTTACCTCATGGTTTCCACACCTGGTAATGACCAGGAAGGAGGAATTCCCATGGGGTTGTGTCCTGACCTCATTTTGTCTATCAGTGAGGGCTCAAGAGCGGAGGTGGTTTCTATCATGTTTAATTATGAGTTGACTAGAACAGCTATAAAAGGGTAATGACTATCATTACCAACCTGAGCCTGCTTCGGAGGAATTAAAGTGTCTGCTTCCATTGCTAATCTCACTGGCCATACCACCTCTACCAAATTGTTACTTACACAGTTTGCTGTGATCAGAGCACCTACCAGTTAGAGTTAAAAAACCAAGTAGCTGTCATTTGGTCGTCACCTTTCATTAATTTCATCTGGTTTTTGTTTTTGTTTTCTTTCCTGTTGGAATTGATTTAGGTGGCTGATAGTCTAAGCTAATGAAGACAAAATACCTAGCGCAAGGCACAAACAGCAGAACAACTGTCTCCCTGAAGAGGCTGATGATTGGGGCTGAGACTAGTATTATACTGACACCTTGTGGTTAATAGTAGCACCTGCTTTTAAAGTGAAAGGCCGTCGTTTTTTCTGATTGAAATCACATATTAAGAACATGAATGTATATAAGAGATTATGGAGCAAAATAATTTTGTCCAAAATAATTTTGTCCAAAATAATTATTCAGACCAGCTTTTCAGATCCTATCAGAGAATCCCCAACATAAGTTCTATAACCTCAAGTCCTGACCTTTCTCAGGGCAAAATGACAAGTCCCCACAATAGTCTGAACTATATAAAATTGGGGTGGGGGGATTGTCTGTTTTACAATATAACACATTGTATTAAGTGACAGTCTCAGCTGTGAATGTACATCAGTGCAGCCAATAATGAAGTCTATTCTAAAACAAAAATAATTGATATGCAACCATTAATCTTTCATGAATATGATAATCTTCAACTCAACTTAGTAGGGCATTTGGGTGCCATAATAAGTGTTAGCTGAGGTACAATGAATGGTGTTCCCTTTCCTTATGTTGAGTAACTCATAGAATATTTACACATGTGGTCTGACAATGAAATATTTTTCAAGCTTCAAAGAACTAATATTCCACAGTTGAATGCAATTTTATTGAGTCAGGTAAGAACAGGATTGAAAGAAAGAGGCTTAAATGTCTCCATATAAAAATAATGAGAGGTGGCTCCAAATTGTTCATGGTGTCCAAATTGTCCTGCTGCTACAGATTAATTCTGGATACTCAGAAAATACTGTACTTGATACACACATAACCAGAAAATAAGATGGTCTTCAGGAACAGTATCACAGACTTTGGAGCCTTCGGTTCTCTTTTCCGTACGGAACGTGGTTGGTAAAGGGGCACAGTGTATGGTCTGGCAAATGTCATCATTGTGGCAGGAGCCCTTCCTTTTCAGGGTGACTTTTTACTTCCCAAACACTGTGCCACTTGTCCTCTTATTCTATCCTGCTATTGCTAGTCCTGATAGAAGCCTTCCAGCCAGAGGGAAAGACACCGATCTCCCTACTGCTCAGAATACACTAACTTGGCCCCTGAGCACTGTGTTTAACCTCAGTGAAACCAACGCATGAAGTCTAGTCTTGGAGGGAAAGGCCAACCCCGGACCATACACATGGTACTTTCATCCCCAGCAAGAAAAAAGAGCATGGAAGTCATGTGCACACATGGGTGGTCCATCTGGACAGAGTCCTAGCTTAATTGTAGATAAGACCCCAAAATGGAAGGAGAGGATCAGAGAAGGAATGGGCAAGAGAATTCAGAAGCAGAAGTCCAGACAAAGGAAGAGACCAAGAGAGGATAACAACTGGCGCAGACTTTCTCGACAATAGGAATAGCCCCGCCCCAGATCTGCTGTGAGTGTGCGCAAACCCCCAATCTCGGCCAGGCTCGTAAAGGGGGGGCCGCTCTTGCTGCACTGCCCACTGCTGGGACCTGGTCTTCCTGCGGAGCTTCACTCTGAGGCTTCTGACGGGTGGAAGTTGCTCAAATCACAGGAGCGCTTGTCCTTCGGGATTACAACGTAGCTGACTCAGATACACGATGATGATCATGCTCTTCCTTGTCCAGGAAAAAAAAGTAGTTCTTTTGGTAGCTTTTCAGCAAATTTTAGTTGAAGGGGCGTGAGCCAGGAGCTTTGACACATTTTCTCTGAGTTAGATCTTTTATTCAGTAGCTTGTAATCGCTTTCATCCTCTCTCTCCCTACGCTGTTCAGATAGGCTGGGCACCCCACATACTTCATTGTATTCTACCCACCTTCCCCGTTGAGAGAGAGAGACGAGAAACGTGTACAGAAATGGAGAAAGGTCCTACAGATTCCACACTAGCTTGCTGGATGGATATCTGGCTTTTGAATAATTCACACAGCAAACTATTTTCTAGGAATCTGGCACTTTATAAATAGACATTGATTAAATCTGTTGTATGAGTGAATGAGTGAGCGAAGGAGGGAACACGCAAATGCCTGCACAACTGATCTCTTTTGTTTGTGTTTCCTAAAATGTGTTATGCTTTGGGCCTGTATGTAAAAATTTATTTCATATATATTCATAGGTCGCCATGGTTTATGTGCTTGCTTGAATATATTTTAGTAACTGATTGTGGTGCCAATTTGTAGTCTAAATTTAAAGTGAATTATTCATTGCTTCAACAAACCACAAGAGAAGCGGTGGTTATTTTCATTCAGTTATAGCTGTCCAGGGGCAAACACACAGAAGCAATTTGACCATCCATTACTGTATGCGTGTATTGTTTACAGGCATAATATATAACCAGCACTGGAAGAAAGACGTTCTGTATTACACAGGAAGTTGTACGTTTATATATTTAGAGCATTAGGAAGTGTTCGTGTTATTCAGGGACCTAAGGAAAACATGGACTTCATCTAGAATACTCTCTGCATACATTGTGGATAAAAGTTTCTTTTCTCCAGCTTTTTATTATTCTTTGATCTTAAATATTCAAATAAATATGTGTTTCACTTGGAGAAAATTTGGTCCAGTTGAACTGCCTCTGTCAAAATGGCTTCTATTCTCCAAGCGTTTTCAAGGGGCCGCTCCCGGGTGGCACTAAGCCGTCCAGGTGCTGGCCTGATGCACACAGGGCGGTGCTCCCGAAACGTACTCACAGCTCTTCAAGGGAAGCAAATGACAATGTAGATATGGATAGTCTTTTGCAAGGAAAAAAAATTTGAGTTCTAATTAAGATAATAATTTACTTTATTCATGAAACTTGAGATTAAGTTAAAGGCTGTTCCTTTTAAGTTAGAATGTTCTAGAATGGAGCAAAGTAAATGTTCTTTAAACAAGGCCTCTGACAAGAATTGTGAATTTAAAAAAAATTTTTTTTTTAATCTAGTTGACACACAATGTTACATTAGCTTCAGGTGTACAACGTAGTGATTCAATTTCTCTATAGGTTATGCTCTGTTCACACAAATGTGGCTACCATCCATCACCAGACAATGTTATTACAATACCACTGACTACATTCCCTATGCTCTGCCTTTTATTCCTGTGACTTATTTATCCCATAACTGGAAGTCTGTATCTCCCAGGATAATCATTAATTTTTAATATACTGCTGTATTTTTCAAAATCTGTAACTCTTAAGATATTTCACAGAACCCATGTGACCATTTTCATTTAGAAGATTTGTCACTGGAACAAGGAGCACGCAGTAGCCCCCACAGAGAGGGAGTTTCCTCTAAGGGCTAAGACGACAGTTTTGGAGTCAGAAATGACTGGACTCATGTCTTCACCCTGCCACTTAGCATCTGTGACATCTTGGGAGGACATTATTGTCTCTGCCATTCAACTTTCTTGTCTGAAAAATGGGGATGAGCCGGGCCTTCTTCACAGGCTGGTAGCAGTAATTAAATGAGGAAAGCATTTAGCAAGAGTCCCAGGACATGCCAGGTACTAAAATGTACTAGGTACAGCTATTATGCTTAATTTGTACTTTTTAATAAATAGGTCTTATTTGCTTCTGGTGATGTATTCTTAGCACATACTTTCATCTGTTCATTTGAAAATGTACTTATGGAGCACTCACAGAAGCTCAGTGAAAGCTGGCCCTGAAAATAGTCACATAGTCACAATAGATAACTGTTCTGAAGGTGAATATAAAGACATTCTTTTTCATTAATTGGACCAGCCTTCAATCTTCTCAAAGAGAGGCAGGTTTGGGAGCTAGGGAGATAGGTGGGGAAGATGTGAACTGCATTTTTTGAAAGCCATAATAAATGCTTTACACTGCTCTGGAAAAAAAAATCCAAATAAGCATTTGCCATGGAATACATGGGATCTTATTTTATTTGAAGACCTTAAGAATCTGTCCCCAAACATATCAAAATAAGCTACCCATTGCCTCAAACACTGTACGTTTTTAGGTGAAGAAAACAAAGGCCTAGACGACAGAGGGGACTTGGCCAGAGGCAGATGTCCAGGCGAGCCCAGCATATCCCGCACACACCTCCCTGACTCTGCTCAGAGCCTTCCTCCTGACACGCACTCGTTACAAGACTCTGTCACTTCACGTGAGAAGTTGTTTCAAAACACACTGGTCTCTCTGCAGGAGGACGAAGCACCCCACGCCCATGTTCCCTCGTCTGCAGGACTGACGGACTCCATCAGCTCGTACCACTTCCTGCTCCCACCATGGGACCCCTGGGGAGCATGCTGAGCAGTGGGCAAGTGCAGGTGGTCCTGTGGGGCAGTTTGGCAACTGTCGCCACTTTCTTCCTCATCAGCTTCCTCGTTTTTCTGTGCTCCAGTTGTGACAGGTGAGAGCCAAGGTGTATCCACTGGAACCCTAAAATAACCCGTTCCCTGTACCCAGAAGATTCTTCACATGAGAAGCATGTAGGAATCCCACTACATGGACATTCACAGAAACCCCTGTGTTAAAATTAACTTCCAGCTAGCATCCCAGGACACTTTTTTGAGTCTGAATGAAAATCCATATCTGATTCTGCTGAGGTGCAACTGGAAGAAGCCTCACGTACAAAACTTCCCAGAACGAAATTCTTGCCGTTCTTTTGAGCACATCCTTGTTGAAATGAATGTTGTCTTTTCCCATCTATGGGCATTTGGAAATCTAAGTCTGATGTGTGTTAAAGGTACTCTTTTTGCCGCCCCTTGAGAGTTACTGCGAAATATTGCTGTTACATGGTTTGAAAGGATCATTTTATTAAAGATTGGTAATGTGGACCTACTGTTTCTTAAGAAACAGATGAATTTTCCTATGAGATGAGTTGTATAAGAAATAATCTTGTCTTTTTTTAGAGTTACACTTCTCCTCCACCCCCCCATGTCTCTCATATAAAACGTACTCCCCCAAAAGAGATCTTTGCTCAGGAGCAATGTTCTTCCTAACAGGAAGTAATTTCCCAGGTGCTCCAACACTGTGAGGGTACTGGCAGGCTCCGGGTGGGTTGGTGCAGACCAGCCAGCCCTCTTCCAGACTCTCCTCTGTAACTTCAGCGGAGACCCTGAGGTCTCTGTCAAGAGGGGGGAAAGTCAGATTCTCTAGACCAAGTAGCCGCCTCATCCCTGCCTAGTTTGGACCTGGGCTCTGCAGCTGGGTCTGAGTCTGATCAGGAAGATGGCAGGCAGAAGAGTTGGCTGCCCCGCACTTGGGAGGGCCTGCCTGTAATTATTTACACTCGCACTAGGTGTCACTGTTGCCTCGTACATACATGGGAAATGTAGTCTCTAGTACTGATGGCTTTCTTTAGACCGTCCTGAGTAAAAATAAATTCTATTTTTATTCGATGGACTTTTCCATAGACTGGAAGTACATATGACTCATCCTGAGAGCATGTATCCTTCCCGACGTGCCAAAATTTGTATTTTCTTTATTTTCCCAGTCCCATGGCAGTGTGCAGTCAACTTAGCAAAGATTCTGAGTTAAGACAAATGAAGAGCAGAGAATTGTCTGGATTTTCTTTAAAAAAAAAAAAAAAAAGAGGCAGAATCCTTTCTAGTATTCTAGATATGAACAGTTTCTACTCATGAACGTGCCTCAGTCCTCTTGTTGTAAACTTGTATTTTCTACTCTGGGAGAAAGGGAAGAGCCAGAGAAGTGACCGGTCTCATGCTGTGACTTGACCCCCCTCAGACCCTGACGCCTGCAAAGGAGTGATGGAGCCACTGTCCAGCTTTTGCTTCCTTGGCAAAATAAACCAGGATCTTAAAAGAGAGACTTAAATGTTGATAAATACTAGGATAGAAAGGGGAGTGTATGTTTGATTTTAGATGGCATGTTTCACATTACAGCAATGTTTTATCTTTACATTTCAGAGAGAAGAAGCCGAGGCAGCAGAGTGGGGACCATGAGAACCTGATGAACGTGGTGAGCCCATGTGCACCTGTCTGTGTGTGTTTTAAAACATCAGCCACTTATCTAAGCACTGTGTCCACAAGCTGCTGAGCTGAAGGAAACCGAGGGAAAGAACCCAGCAGAGTTAGCTGGCCACCGAGGCTGTGCCCTCTCCGTAGGATTGTTACTCAGCATGCCTAGAGGCCTGTGCAATTAGCCGGGTTGGTTGGGAGGGTTTCTGAAATGGATACAATCATGCCGCTGCCAGAGAGATTCTTCAAGAGCTCCAGCCTACCTACCACCGCAGGGACGCAGGGACGCCCCTGCCCAGCTCCAGCCCTGTAGCTGTTTGCTAGGGCTGCATAACAGAGGACCACAAACCGTGGGGCTTAAGCAACACATGTATTGTCTTGGAGTTCTGGAGGTTAGAAACGGAGATCAAGGTGTCCGTGGGGCTGGTTCTTCCAAGAGCTTGGAGGGCGAGTCTGTTCAGGCCCTTCTCGCTTCTGGTGGTTTGCTGGCGATCTTTGTTGCTCCTCGGTGCCTTCACTGTCACGTGCTGTTCTCCCTGTGTCTCCCCACGTGGTCTCTGCGTGTTTCTGTGCAAGCTTCCCTGTTTTAGAAGGACTCCAGTGTGACCTCATCTTATGGAGCTAGGGCCCAGCTGGGTTTCCTCGGCCCTCCTTTCTTATGGGCCCGGTCAAGCCCCTCAGATCCCCCCCGGTGAGGAGCAGCCTGAGCGTCCTGGTCCTGCCTTGTTCTCTCCACTCAGGTGGTGCCCTCACTTGGCTGAGCAATTCTAGCCGCGGGGGGACGGGGCCACCCCATAGTGGCGGGGCTGACGGCATCCGGCTTGCTTGAGCCCCATGACAGTGTGAAAACAGAGAAGTGTTTCCAGTCCCTGAAGGAATTTCTCAAGATCAGGGAAAAACTGCTTTGGGGGAGAGGGTGTGAAACATGTAGCCAGCAGACAGAGGCAGAGCCCCAGGAGGGGTCCCCACTCCCAGTCTCCCGCCCTACGGATGGGTGGGACTCGTGGATCCCCAGCAGCAGACAGGAAGTTGTTGGGGCTCCTCTCCCCCGGGGAGCCCCTGGGGTTTCCTAGCCACCTCCTCTGTGCCCGCACACACACGCACGCCTCACCCACTGCTGTTCTGGGTTCTCAGCACCACCTCTCCCTTTGCCCTTTTCCCGCCTCTGGTCGTCAGCCCCACTTCTCAGCTGCACCCCGCGCCTCTGTTAGCACAGATTGCTGCTGTGGTGGCGTGGGGGGGGGGGGCGCTCTACTGTCGCTCCTCCCACATGTAGGTCCCAGGCGCCGACTTTCTTCACCACCCCCCATGCTCCTTGGCGCCAGATAGAAGGTGAGGTTAGGGCAGAAGAAAGGGCTTCCATCTTTGTGCTTCATCCCACGTCCTTCCCGAGCAGCAGTTCTCAAGGGTGGCCTGCACTGCTGGCAAGCCCCCTGCTGTGTGATTGTGCTGGAGGCTCACGTTGGAGAGCCGCCGTGGGAGACCTCGAGGGCCTGCTTGTTCACCTCGGGTCAGCAGCAGGCCTGGGGGAGACAGAGTGGCAGGCGGCTGAACGGAAGATGGAGACTCTCGTGTACCATATCCTTCAGAACCCCACAGCCTCTCTCATGCAGACGTGCACACGAGAGCGCTAGAGCACACATGGTCACGTGGGCACTGGTTGGGAGCTCACGCACACAGCCTGTCCACCCGGCTCTCTTTAAGAGCTTCCCTCTCAGCTTCTAAATCTTGTTCAACTTGCAGATTCGCCATGTAGGCCAAAGCAGCCCCTGCCGTCAGCCCCACCTCTCCCCCCTGATCCCAGCTCTTCTACATCCCGGCTCCCTCCTAAGCCCCAGAGGAGCCACCACTAAATCCTAGCCTAAAACGATCCCAAGGCATGGGGTGTCCGGGAGTCTGCACTAGCGCTTCAGAGAGAGAGGGAGGCCCACTCCCGGCTCCCCTGCGGGCCCTCTGTCCTGGAAGCTGAGAGCAGACGTGGTGGCCAAGACTGATTATGCTACTTCAGCAGGGATGGGTTGTGATGCTGTCATGAGCCTGCCTGGGGCCTTCCCCTCTCACCCCTGACTCCTGTCCAGGTGGGACCCTTCTGTGCTATGAGCCTCTGCGCCATACGTTCCTGGCACCCTAATGCGATGACCCACCTCCTGGCACTCTTCAGTCAGGAGCAGCATTACGCCAACACAGCAGACTCGCAGGAAGGGTTCATGACACAGCGTGAACTATTTGCTATTATTATTTGGTTCCCAGTAAGAAGTCAGAGAATTTATGAAGCCAACTGGCCAAGCTTCTGGAGCTGTTTATATCAGAACTTTCCATGTGGACTCCTAGAACACGGTCCAGGTGTGGCGTCCGGGGTCATGCACGCTGTGTGTCCTGTGAGAAGGATGTGGGGACAGGTCGCATTAGCAGTGATTCAGGCCGCCACAAGGAGCCAGCTGGGCATTTAAAGAAACACGTGAACTACCAACTTCCTTTGTGACTGCATGTAGCTATAGCTCAGCCTGGCATCTTATTCCATGTCCTATCTCCACATTCGAGCCCAGTTAGAAAAACCTTCCAAGGCTGTTCTTCCCTCCAGGCATCCTGAATTTGTGACAGTAAGTTTGCAAACCTGCTGGTTAACATATGGCTATTCTTGTGAGTCCTGAAGCAGAGACCTGGCTGGTTATGAAATAGTCTCGGAAATCAATGACCTTCTCATCTTCGGCCAGACTGCAGTCTCTTCCCTTCAGATGGCGTGTTTTTCCTGGCCTGGCATGCCTTTAAGAACAGCGTCTTATAGCACCTGTGGTACAATGAGCCCAGCACTGGGGCTCTTGGTCCCCTGTCCACCTTGAGCTCAGGGGACTGATCACTCATGCCCACTTGTAGACCACCAGGTAGAAAGCCCTGCAGATGGTCTTGGAAGATTCCTGGGATCCTGAAGAGTCTAGGACAACTCTGTCCAGGAGAGCTGTGCAGCATGACGGATGTGTTTCTGTCCCTGGTCCGATGCAATGACCCCCCAGCCACTGATGGCTGCTGAGCATTCCAGATGTGACCAGTACAGCAGAGCAACTCCAGTTTGCTTAGTATCACTGAGTTTGGGCGGAGTTGGGTTTCTGTTATTGCTGTTTTAGTTTTTAGACAAAGCCAGGGCTACTGTCCTCTGCCTACAGTCTGATTCTTCATGTGGTGTTTGCTTCGCAGCCTTCCGACAAGGAGATGTTCAGCCATTCGGTAACTAGCCTGGCCACAGACGCACCTGCCGGCAGTGAGCACAATGGGATCCTCACCAATGGCGACAGTAGGTTCTGCGAAGGGACCGGCTTTCCACGCAGGCCTCATCACCTGAGACAGAAGTCATCTCAAAATCCATAGCTCAAAACCTAGGCAATGTGTTCCTGCTCACTCTTAGTATTCCTACCAGTTTTAGCACAGATAAGCTCATTTGGATGAAAAGCTAGTATTTATTAATTGGTCTCTCTGTGCCATTGCTCTAAGATTTGTATACTAACTCATCCTTACAACTACCCAGTAAGATTACTGTTGTTAGTAGTAGTATTACTCCCTGTAAGAGAGCTCTCGTTACAACTTACAGGTGAAGAAACAGTGGCACATTGCTGCTTCAACCAGTTACCACAAACTCAGTGGAGCCTCAGAGCAACAGAAATGTATTAACTCAAAGCCCTAAAGTCTAGAGTACCAGCAGCGCTCCATTCCGTCCTCAAGGGTCTAGGGGGAATCCATTTCCTTCCCATTTCAGCTTCTTGAGGCCGCCTGCATTTCTTGACTGCTAGCCTTTCCCTCCATCTCCCCTTCTCTCCCCAACTCTCCCGCCTCCTCTGTCACTTAAAAGGACCCTCATGATTACATTGGGCCCCCCTGGGTAACTCAGGCCGCTCTCCTATCTCAGGGTCAGCTGATCGTTCATCTGTACCTCTGGGATGATTAAGGACACATATAGTGGTACCTACCACTGGGTTAGACATGGGCCTGGGCTCCAGGGGTCTCAGAGAATCCCAGTCGAGACAGTAAAAAAAAAAAAAAAAAAAGGTTAAAAATCTTGCTATAAACACACACATATATACACATATCAGGACTATATATAATATGTAAGCACTATATGTTGTATAAAAAGTATATAAGATAAATACATGCATGAACGTAGATATGTACTTATACTTTTTATACTTCTATACAAAGACTATAAAATGGAGCGACAGTCATTTAATAACTGTTTGCTACAATGTTAAGTATCAGAAGGGCAGGGCTAGGCTTTGTTGATGTATCTCCAGCACTTTAATGGTCTCTGGCACATAGTAGGCACTCAAAAAGCATTTGATAAAGGGATGACTGAATGGTTTTCCACAGTGCACTTCAGTGGAAATCTAAGAATTTCACATTTGATTTTCCAATTTGTGGTAGAACTGGTAAGGGGAAGGGGCAGCAAGATGGAAGGAAGACCTTTAAAGAGGCATGGGCGTACTGTCCCTTTGTACTTGTGGTTGAGGGTACACTTTTGCCCCAGTTTCCGTCATGTCTGCCAAACAAAAGTGACCATTGAAAGGGGGATGGTTACAGTTATTCCCTCCAAACGGGAGGCGGCCAGTAAGGCCAGGGAGAGTGGCCACCATGCGTGTCCCCCCCCCCCCCTTTCGGTGCCCAGCGTCTCACGGAGTCAGACCTCTGATCGCATTAGACACACTGCTCCTTAAGCAACTCATCAACAAGCAATCCCATCAATAAGCAATGAAAGTTAACTGTGAGCCAAATTTATAGCCAAGTCAGTTTATTAAATGTTTGTATTGGAAAGATGTAATAGCTGGCTTTAGTTTCAACTGTGGTTGAAATAGCAACAATCATATCGTCTGTAATTTGCAGTTTAGAGTCAAATAAAAAGCAAGCACCTTGATTTAACTTAACTTTGCATTATCCATTCACTGTAATAATTATTTAAGGAATTGTGTTTCTCAGTTTTTCATACTTCTGCCGCTTTAGTTCTTTCAGAAGACAGTACTGTGACCTGCATGCAACATTATGAGGAGGTCCAGACCTCAGCTTCGGATCTGCTGGACTCCCAGGACAGCACGGGGAAGCCAAAATGTCATCAGAGCCGGGAACTGCCCAGAATTCCCCCTGACACCGCAGTGGACACGATCCTCAACGCGAGGAGCGTGGACGGGGTCCAGGGCCTGGGGACAGAAGGGCCGTATGAAGTGCTCAAGGATAGTTCCTCCCAAGAAAATATGGTGGAAGACTGCTTGTATGAAACTGTGAAAGAAATCAGGGAGGTGGCAGCAGCCGTGAACCCAGGGAGGGGCCACAGCAGCAGGTCAAAGTCGACTTCTGCTCTGAAAGAGCTTCCCGGGCCCCAAGCCCCCCAAGTGGACTTCGCTGAATATGCATCAGTGGACAGAAACAAAAAGTGTCGACAGAGCGTTAATGCAGAGACTGTTCTTGGAAATTCTTGCGATCTGGAAGAGGAAGCCCCACCACCTGTCCCCGTTAAACTTCTGGATGAAAATGAAAACCTTCAGGAGAAGGAAGAGAGCCAGAGAGCAGAGGAAGGAGCCACAGAGGGGACCAGCGAAACCAACAAGGTGGGCTCCCATGGTTGTCTTTCATGTGCTTTCGTCGTGATGGGGAATCTAGCTCCCCCTGGGGCTTTTACTGGCACATTGTTCTGGGAAATATATACAAACACTTTCAGGTTCATTGAATGATGAAAGCTGTTTTAGCATAAGCTGTGTTTGACTTTTTCCCCCCTCCAAATAATAAAATACAGAAAACTCATGCTTGTAGAATATTTCTCTGTTGGCACCTAACTTGGATATTTTCCAGTTTTCACATCATGTCTAATCAGGGCCAAGTATTATTTTCTTCATTTTGAAGATCAGGAATTAAATGGAGACTAGACTATTTGCCACACATTTAGCCTCTTCTGTTCATTGCTGCTCAAGCAGCAGGGTGATCCTTACCCTTCCGGGATCCCAGAAACCAGAGCACAGGAATACACACGGAGAGAACAGACTCAACAGGTGCCACTGGTGGTATCTGATTCTATGCAGACTTTTATATAAATCAAGTAAAAGATTTTATTTTGTGACAATTTCAAAACAATAGCCTATAACTCTTTAAGTTTAGATATTCAACAAAGCTCTGAAATGTATTAACAATGCCCGAGCCTTCTGTTTCTGGTCACCTGACGTAGGAGCCACAACAGCCTGAAATTCACATCTCCTGCAGTCAGGATCTCCTTGGAATTTAACTAGGCCCAGTCTTCTTATGCAACTACTATCTGATTTCTATTCTCTACACAGGAAAAAGCAAGGTTCTCATCTCAGGTTTTGGTAGGAAGGGTAAGTAAGTAGGTCAGTCAATAGTAGCCTTAAAAAGGATCCGGAGTTCATGATCAAAATGTGAATCCTGGCTATGGTTATATAGGTTATCCCAAGTAAGTCATTCTTTGGGGTATTCTCTGAATGCATTTCAACTTTTCATATTACCCATGAAATCAGCTATTGAGAGCCTCAATACAGGTGTGTATGAACCGAGTCATAAAATGCAAAAATGCAGTCTAACATTTTGCCCTTCATATAACCAAAGATAATTAATGTAAAGTTTATTGTGTCTAAAGCAGTTAAGGCTTTTTTACTTATAAGTACCTGAAAGATAAGAAGGCCAGTTGTCTAACCATTACTAGTGGTATCTCCAGATATCACATTAGAGTCTGGAAATACCCATCTGGGAATCAGATTACCTTTCTATAGTAATACAAGAATGATAACCCATCACATCCCTTATAAACAGTACTAATTTTAAGCAATTCAGAGAACTTGAAACATTTAATATTCATTCATTTTTTCATTCATTCACAAGAAGATTTTAGTGAGCACCACCTATATGCCACACAGCCTTCTAGGTGCTGAGAATACACTGGTGACCAAAACATATAATTGAACAAAAATTCCTGCCCCCCGTGGAGCTTACAGTTTAGTGGGGGGAGAGAGAGACATAAATATGCACATAAGTATATGGTATTTTCGAAGGTTTTAAGGTTTATAGGGAAAAATTAGAACAGAATAATGATTAGGAAAGTAGAGTGGGAGTATAATTGTGAATCAGTGGTCAGGGTATGCCCACTGTGAAGATGGCATCTGAATGAAATGTTCAAGGAGATGAGAAAGTTGGGGAAGAGCAGATGGAGCGGGGGAAGGGGCAGTGTGAAGGTGCCCGGCCTACCCAGGGAAGAGGAGGGGACAGGTGTAGCTGGAGAGGGAAGAGCAGGATAAGTAGTAGAAAGGTAACCAGGGGCCCAATCCTGTGTGGCCTCTGCTCATAATCTGCATTAAAAAGGGGTCATTAGAAAATCTTGAGCAGAAGAATGGATTACTCTAGGTTTGGAAAAGATCGCTCTGACTGTAGTGTAAAATTCAACTGTCAAGGGTAGGAGCAAGGAGACCAATCAGGTGGCCATTCTCACAAACCAGACAAGAGAGGATGGTGGCTTGGAACAAGGCAGAAGTAATGGGAGATGCTAAACTAGAGCCAGGAGTTCTGTCGGTGGACCAGATGTATAATGAAAGAAAGAAAAGATAATGATGAGTTCCAGGTTTAGCCTGAGCCACCGGAAAGATGGCATCACCCTTAACTGAAATGGAGAGGACTGCAGGCAGGCAAGTTTTTGGAGAAGACCGGGTATTCAGTGCTAGACGTGTTTTGTTAGAGACTCATGCTGGATATCTGAGTAGAAGCAGCAGAGAGTAGCTTGACAAATGAGCAGCCTTATAAGAAAGGGCCTGGGCTGCTTTTGTACACTTGGAAGTCCTCAGCAGAAAGTTTTTCCTAAAGCTATGACACTGGATGAGGTCATTGGATGAGTGGAAATGGCATCTAGAAGAGTTCCCAGGGCACAGGTCTGGGAAAGAAAAGGAACCAGCAGAAGACACCAAAATAGGAAAGAAAAACAGGAAAGTTCGGTGTCCTGGAAGCCAAGTGAAGAAGGTTCAGGGACAGAGGAGTGGCCACTATGGCAAATACAGCGATGGATCAGAAAGTGAGGGCTGAGGATTGACCATCCTGTTGGTTACACAGTGGACATTGGTGTCCTTGGAGTGTCAGAGGCAGAAACTTGTCTGAAATGGAATGAGAGAGAGAACAGGAAGAGAAAAACTATGTGAGCGGCTTTTTTAGACAACTCTTTTAGGAGGTTTTGCTATAAAGGGAAGAGGCATTAGATGGAACTGGAAGAAGGGTTGTTTTGTTTTTAGAATCAGAGAAATAACAGCATGGTTTCACGTGGATGGGAATGATTTTACAGTGAGGGAAAAGCTGATGATATAAACAAAATGGGAGACTTGCTGGAGCACATCTTCACGAGCAGATGTGAGGGGGCAGGATCCGATGCATAAGAGGAGGGGGTCACTTTAAAGAGAGTTCTTTGGTGACAGGGAGGAAGGAAAATTCAAGAATGCAGAGATGGGGGCAGGGTGGGGTTCATGGACATGTCTTCTGATTTCTTCAGTTTTCTCAAGGTCACCAGCTAAGACTGAGGATGGGTTGAGAAGGTGTTGGAGTCTGGGGAAAGAGAAGAAGGTAGGAAGTGGACAGCTATGAGAGCAGGGACCGGGTGTCCTAGCAAGTGTGGTATGACAGGGAGCAGCATCAAGGACTCACCAGAGGGTTGAATTCACCAGTGATTAGAGCAGTGGGTATTTAATACTACTGGGTATTGAAAAACGTCACAGATTTTTTTACAAGTGTTTATCCTCAGTTGCTTCACATAATTTCTTTGTAGAAAAATGTCTTCCCTAGAAATTATTTGAAAACATCTTTATAGATAGGTGTGTCAAAACACATGCAAAAGGAAGGTTGGATTACTGACTTCAAACTATACCTTCCCTTGCTTTGTGTTTCTTTTAACAGAGATTTAGTTCATTGTCGTACAAGTCCCGGGAAGAAGACCCAACTCTCACAGAGGAAGAGGTGAGTTTGTTGCTTTTTAAAAAATAACCACAAAGCTCTAAAGAATAGAGTTTCTCTCCTTGCAAAAATGACTGTCACATTACCCTTCTCTGAAAAAGCTAAAATACTCTCTTTCGCATATGTCTGGAGATCAGAGTTTGGGGAGGTTGGCTTTATAATGGTTCAGAGAGAGTGACTGGCAGATGGTAAGACAAGAAGGAAGACAGGTTGAACAGGTCACCTAAGAAACTAAGTAGGAAAGAAGCATCAGAAAGGAAAAAAAAAAAAAATAGAGGAGGGGAGAAAATAGAATGAGAAGAGAGAAATTTGAGTATGAGAGCTTTAGTTGAGCAGTCAGGAAGATCCCCTGTGAAGGAAATTAATCATGGGTTGGAAAATATAGGAAATTGGAACAGGTGGGTATAGGGAATTTAATCCAGCCTGGGAGATGGAGGAGGAAGGTTTTAATGAGGAATTTCAGAGGCCGAGAGCAGGTAACTGCAGGAAGTACAATTCCAGGCTGGCGCAAGACTCAGACATAGCGGCCAACGGGAGAGAAATGTGTACTCTCCCAAGTCCCAGGCTAAAGACTCACCGGTTAGATATCTTTTTTTTTT